ATATGGACAGGACTGCAGCACCTCGCCGAGTGTCCCAAGGAGGAAATCCTGCCAGCGCTGCCTTTCTCACCAGCACACACAAGGCGCCCTTGTTGGCTCTCAGTTCTCACCTCCATTTTATCAGTTAGCAGGTGGAATGAATAAGCCCCTTTCTACAAAACGGACATAAATCTCTGTTCTGAGTGCTGCACCCTGAAGGATAATTAGGCCAATGTTTACGCCGGCACTTTCAGATGCGACTGACATCTTGAGGGGTTTTGGTTTCCTGGAGCTTGAATTCAGGGATCTCATGGGCTCTGCAGAGCAAATATCTTCCAGGTGTCCTCCCAAGCCAGTCACCAGAACCTGGGACCCTTCTCTTATCTGTTGTGGGCACTTGAGCACAATAGATGGGACAAGGATTTTGGGAGGCGCTTGGCATGGAGCCCCTTCCTGCTCTGTGGCACCAGGGCAGGCAAATTTCACTCCCCCTTATTGTGAAAGCTGCAATTGTGAAAGTCGCCTCCGCTTCCCCACCGGTAAAAACAGCAATTCCTGTTTATTGCCTGTGAGGCTGAATTCACCCACCTTTGCAAAGGGCTTTGAGAGCTCTGCACAGGAAAGCTTTATCATTAATGCAAAAGACTCATTAACTTCCTATATCCAGCTAATGACGTGCAGGTTCTCAGGCCAAAGGGTGACTTAGACTTCCCAATAAAATCCAAGCCCTTGTGACATTCAGGAGCCAAACTTGCTTTAGGAGCTCCTTTCTTGTGTGACCAAGTTTGCAATATYTTGATGGATGGACAGTCATATCCCTCCTCCTTCCCTGGTGCCTTAGACCATAAGAAACAGCAATAGCCATGGGTCTTTTATAAAGTGGAAAATAGCGGAAAATAAATGAGAAAAGTGGAAAATAAATGAGAGGATTCATATGAGCAGCACATACAGAGCACTTTCACCATCTGATAGGAAGCCATCTTACCACTATATACAGGGCACATTACCAGCAGTGTTATTTCTAGGGGCTAAGAACTATAGTCCCAAGGTGGATACTCATCAGGTTACTTTCCTGTTGGAAGGCCAGGTCTCCAAAGGCTCCCAGGTGTCCGGGGAGTGACAGACTCCTTCAGAGGATGAGTCAGAGCACCTACATTTASTTAGAAACTTCTCTTGGCTAACGTCACCCTTTGAGTGTCTCTCTCCCCACGCCTCAGGTACATCGGTCTCATTGTTCAAAACACAAAGGTTTCCAGTGAACATAGGAAGTTAAAAACGGCAATGCAGATTCCCTGGATTTTGTAGGTGAAATCTGGTCCCGTGTTGAGGTCAAAGGCAGAATTCCCATCCACTCGATAACCACCTGATTTCCTGGTGAAAGTGAAAAAGCCTCAGTCGACTCGCTGGTACTSCCCGACTGCCTTGGGCTTCAAGGAACTTAAGAACATCGGTCCATGCAGATCCGTGTTGTCCCCGACGATGTCACCCTGGGGCACCTGCCCAGCTCCTGCCCTCCCAGCTTGGACTGGCTCCACAGGCACGAAAACACAAGCCCAGAAAACTGAAAAGCTGAGAAATGGTCTCRTGTCCACACAAGCACCGTTCACGGCGAGCACCAAGGACGTCACGGCCTGGGCCCTAGCGAGGGAGTCTATGCAGCTCAGGTCTCGTTTACAGCTGCCTAACACCCTTTAGGCTCCTCTCTATGAGGAAATAAATTATTAAGAATGGCATCTATTATTGTCATTCTGAAACAAAAAACATTTTTACTCTATTTGAAAATTATTGCTTGAAAATGCTCTCCAATTCAAAGCAGAGTTTTTTTTCTAATTTTAGGAAAAATATAACTATAGCATGTTCACAAAGGCCACCTATTGGTTTAAACCAAAGTGTCATTTTTAATCCGTGTGGCACTTGCAAAACAGAATTTTTTCAACTTCAATATAAGCGATGTGAAGCTTATTCCATTGATAGCAGCTGCACCCAGCTTGCTATTTTTTAACCATTTCTACTCTGAAATTTGCATATTGCACATAAACTAAAACAGAYCTTCTATATTTGCAGAAGCTACAAAATAGACTTTCTTCTCCTGAAAGTTTATTTATCTTTTCTGTATAGTGTTTTTGCTTTGCTTTCTGATTAACCATCAAAGAATAAAAATAGTGTAAGAATATGACAAAATGCTTATCTTAGATGATGATTATTTACCTATAAGTAAAAAATAGGGGAAGGGAGCTACCATTAAAAAAAATAATAATAATTTTGCAAACCACTGGCGATACTGAAAAGTTATACCACTCAATCGTATTTTTAAACTGTTCCTGGCAAAGCATGCAAGAAAGTGAAGATACTTATAAATAAAATATCCTGCAGGAGGCAAAACCCTAAAAAAATCTGTTTTGCTGTTTTAAACAATGTTAAGTCTAGGCACATACTGGCATATTTAATTCAACATGAAAATTAGCTATGCTTGATCTACACGTTAACACGAGGCACATTTGAGCAAAACGTAGAGTTATCAGTAGAACCTGCACCAAGAAAAGCACAGGCAGAAACAGGGAATGGCTGAGTCAGGTCTGTGCACAAGTGCAGAGCACCAGTTATTCCTTATTTTGGGGGAAATAGGATGTCCTTGACATCCATGAGTATTTTTTATTTTACCGGGAGACAAAGGATATTCTTTGAAGGAGCGCAATCCAATTGCAATGTGCTGGCCCGGGGTTTCTTTTTGTTTTAATGATCACGGATGTTAACGCAGGGATCAGGGTTATCGGCTGACAATCAATCACAGGCAGCGGCGGAAGGGCTACCGCACAGCTTGGCTCCGTGCAGTGAAGGAAGAAGGGACGGCCCTTTTCCAAGGAGGAAAAGAGAGGCAAGGAGAGGACTCCAGGAAAAACCATGATGGAGAGAGCGGGCTACGTTAATGATCCTCTTCTGCTGCTTGTGGCCGTGGGGAGGCCCCTCTTGCACCACAGCACCCTGGTCCCCACATGGGTTTTGTCCCCTGCTCTGCTCCACACATGGAGACATTTTTTCCTGTTTTGTTTGTTATTGTTTGTATTTATTTATATTTCCTTTCCCGTTACCCCTCCGAGGCAGAGCAGGGCTGCTGATTACAAAGGAGGCAGTTTGACTCCAGCAATAGGTCTTCCTCACTAATCCTCACTGTCACGGAAATTCCAGCTGCTACAAGAATAAGAGGCTCAATCCATATTTGCCAGCTCTAATATGAAATCTGTCAGGGCCCAAATTAATGAGTTCCAAACTCCTTACATCACGATAACAGGTTAAGACTGGTCAATTAATTACACAAATCCTTCCCGACTCATTGTGCGCTTCCAGGCGAGATTGTGTCTTACATAAGGCGGCGACACGGGGGCCTTTGGGCTCGCCTCCCTCCACGGAGAGGCTGCCGCTTAAGCGCGGCCCGCCTGCCACGGGGCCGTGTTAAATGTCACGCGTTAGATTCGCACTGCTCCGTAATTGCTTTTGTTTAAAAAAAAAAAAGGGGGGGGGGGGGGGGGAATGGCTCGACGCCGTTAGGGGGTGATGAAGGGGTGTCGGGGCCCTCTTGGCGGGGTCTCACACGGCCGCTGTCCCCGCAGCGCGGTTGGTGGTGTTGGGGTGAGGGCGTACGCAATAAATTGAGSAAAATACGTGGTAAAACGGGCGCAGCGGCGCGCACCGCCGCCCCGCGGCCGCGCACCGCCGCCCCGCCCGCCCGCTGCCCCACAGCGCCCCCTAGCGCTTTAACGGCCGCTCAACGGCGGTTTAACGGCTGCCATCGGCGCGGGGGGGGCGGTGAGCGGGAGGCGGCCGCCAGCCCCGCCCCCGCCGTTGCCAGGCGCCGCAGTTGCCAGGAGCGACCGGCCGCGCTACCTGGCGGACACCCCCCCGCCCCCGCGCGGCGTCGCCGGGAGCGCGCGCACGGGCACGCGCACGGACACGGGCACGCGCGGGGATGCGCGGCGCAGGTAAGAGGCGGAGCCGCGGGGCGGGACGCGGGGCCGTTAGACGGGGGGGGGGCGAGGCGCCGCTCCCCCCGCCCCGGGAGGGCCGTTATCGCCAACCGTGGTTGAGGGCTGGGGGCAAGGCAGCAGATGAACATTCAAAATTTAGGATTAAGGAAGAGAACAGCCGTTTCTCATGAAGTTGGTAGGAAATATTGGGAATTCCGATTTGCATGTTTGTGCCTGCATTATCAAAGGGAATTACAGCATGGGAAAAGCCAGGAGCAAAATCCCTGCCCTCTGAACATCCTCCTCCTCMTCATCACTGATGCCACCGTTCTAAGGCTCTAAGGAACATACAGACTACCAAGAAACATAAAAATATTTTTTACTCRCTTTATGTGCATCTTGTATTTCACACGAGTGACAAATTTTGTGTAGCTATATAATTTAAATACAGTTCAAGGAAAAAAAAAAAACCCCACTACATATATATATTTTTAAAACAACTTGGACACAACTTTGCAATGCTACAGGGTGGTACATTTAAGAGTACAAAGGTTCGTAGTTCTTAAACAGCACTGCTATGTACACGTACATTTTCCCTTCCAAAAGAAAATTTTTCTCTTCTTACAAGTATATTTCAGGGACATTTTAAGTAACAGGCTATATAAGTAACAGGATATATGGCTAAAGGTATTTTCACTTGTTCATGTTTTCTTTTAAAAAAAAAAAAAAGAAAAAACAATTTGGTTTATACGTAAGTACCAAAATATTTTAAGAAAAGTAACTACACATGAAAAATCAAAAGGTGGTATCAATACTCAAATCTTACYATGTGATTTAAAGACAAGATTAAAATCATATTTTATCTAGTTACATAATAGTTAAGAAAGCATCATACAAAACCAGAATATAAAGCTCTCAGAAAAAAATAAAATAAAAAAAGGGGCAGGGCTTTAATTTGAGTGCAAACTAATATCGTTATAATTAGATATAAATTAATAATAGTAATTAGATGAAATTGTAATTTAGGTATTAGCCTGTTTGGAAAAACAAAAGAAAAAAAGAAAAGATCTATCAATATCAGCATTATTTAAAACTAAAAACTGAGRATCAAAATACCAGTGATGTTTTTAGAGAGTCAAAATAAACGCCAGTGTTAACAACGTGAAATCATAGGCATGTAAGGCATTAAAAATATATATATTTAATATGAATATAGAATTTTAAATGTAGAATTATGTAAATGTTACATTTAAATGTTCCTGTGAAGAATTTATATGCACTTATATAGGTGGTAACAAAAGTGCTAGAGCTCAGAATAGTGCTCATTCTTCTTTAATAAGAAAATAATCCAGTAGTCTTTGCTAAACAAGTAACATTCAACAGATAAATACATTAAATTCCTATTAAAGATGCAAATAAAGTATTGCTAATTGCTCAGAAATATCAGGTCTGTGTGATAAAGAAAATAAAGTAACAACAGAACCATTAGAAACAAGTATTTAGCTCAGAAATATCTTCCTTTGGAAAACATCCTCTGACACACAAAAGATAAACTCCTCAAATTAAGGAAAAGAAATGTAGCTATAAAGATTCTCCAATCCTTTTCTTTATGTATTTTAGTCAACTATTTAGGACCTGCATAAGTAGGYCAAGAATTGTAAAGTGCTTCCACAGTCTGGCTCACTATTTTAAAATGAAACAAAACCACTATCCTAACGCTGTATTAAATACAAACACTTCTTGTCAGACACGATCCCAGTTTGCTTTGATATTTTCCCCCATCTTTCACATAAATTTCCTAAACTGAATTATTTTTCCAGTAATGTAACAACTTAAGCATYTGCTGTCAAAACCAGCTTTCTAGCTCCTACTAAGTATAACTTGCTGCTTTAAATAAGTGTTACAACCTATACATTAAAATAGCTTTGCTGCTACATTGTACACAGGCTGAGATGGTGAGAAATACATTCGTGCAATTCAATAAAACTGAGCAAAGGCAACAATAATTTTACAGAAGTGCTCCCATCAACAGGAAGAAAAAAAAAAGAAAAAAGGAAGAAAAAAAGGAAGAAAAAACACAGGCTCAAAGTAGTTAGCTAAGAGATGTTATCCTCGGGCTATTAAAACATGTCTCTAAAATTACACAGATTCCCATCTGGATGCTTGAAAAAACATGCCTGCACATGCCTACACTAACCTTTATTAGCTGGCCATTTAATAATCTATTGTTTCTGTAATKCACAGATTTTAAATGTCCCTTCTTTGCAACCAGAAACAGAATTCTTTAAAAAAAGCATCCGTTTTCAGGCCTGTAACTGCAGCTCTGAAGTTAATGGGAGCTTTTGCTAGGGTGATCAGACCCCCTAGCTCTTTTTAATAGCAGTTAAATGTCAAATATAAATACAACACCAGAGTGGAACATATTCCATTGACAGAATCTGGGACAAGACACTATGCAGCTGCTGTTAACAATAAAGAACCAAATTGACGTTTAATCAAAATAAGTGTTGGTGGTTACAGAGTTGTGTTCAAGCCTGCCTTTTGTTTGTGAAAAAGTCAATACACGTTAACTACAGTAACACTGAAATCACTAGCTGCAGTTCTTCCCAAAGATTCCAGCGCTGCACATTCGGACGGCGTGTTACACTCTGTGATTGGCATCATCGCGGAGAAGGAAACACACTCCCTTTGAGCTGATAAACTAAAACTTCTGCCCTGACATCTTCAACTGTAGGYTCCTAAAGTAAGATCTGTAGGGTGAAGCCATGGCCCTAGTGAAGTCGATGGAAAATTCAGCCATTGGTTTTAATGGATGTCATCCAGGATTTTCCCTGGGAACRCGTATCCGTAATTCCCTGGGATCGGCCCCTTTAGAAGCCCTCTAAATTGCACCATTTTTATTATTCCCAAATTCCAAGCAGTCAGGCTGGAGAATTTGGGCTTTTGGTTCTTATGCATGATAAAACCAGGCTTTCTACAGACATTAGAGAAAGACCAGAGGAAGATAAAAATATATCTCAAATTGTCAGCAGCATATAGTTTGTACAAATGTTGTTTTGCTGATGTTGCTGAGCTACTTWAAAAAGTTAATACCTTGTGGGGTATGTAATTTCATCACCAATGTCAAATGACTTCTAAAGATGAAACTTCTCTAATGCAAATTACAAAAAGATGCTTTGAATATATTTCATATGATATGAGAACTTTTAAGCTGAGGCATTAAGTTATCTTGATTTTCCAGATCTAAGACGTGCAGTCACTAAGGGAAATATTTTAAACTGCCATATGTTTCAGTGGAGCATTAGCCCAATGCAGAGATTTTAACAGTTGCAAAAACCTAAACGTAATCGGTGGCATGTAAACCTCAATCAATGTACATGACAAATCAACAAAGAAACAGTATCGAGGTCTGTTTCAAAATAACATACATACAGTTGCACTGACACCAACTCTTTTCAGCACACGGTATTAGCAGACCGTGTTTACGTGGGGCACACGGCTAGTAAACACAGCAGAAACCACTTGGTACTGTCCTTCAGAGGGCAACGCAGACACGATTTTTCACGATTCTTCAGAAGCTGAGCTTGCTTTACATCCCCGTGAAACGCTGTCATCACTTTGTCCGAGCCCGGAGGATGAACTGCAGAGAGGGGAGAGGGAAAAAAAAAATAAAAGGAGGAAATTGGTTTTCACAACACACTCAAAGCCTGAGTAACAGAGGAGAACTTTAATTATCTCCAGTCACAAAGAGAGACAGGAAATTTGGACTTTTAATTAGCCATTTGGAGTGCAGTTGGATATTTTTTTAGCAAGATAATTTAAACGCGAATAATTCAAGTCTGACTAAATGAAATTCACATAATCAGAATGCAGATAATTGAATTTCTACTGCATTCATTAATTCAGTGTGGAGGTGTGTGTGAAGACTTCTRTGATGAGCTGTCACAGCTCAATAAAATCTCAGTCAATTAATTTTTTCATTATCTTAGTATTACATCAACAAAAAAAGTGAAGCATGCGTGTGTATATGTATGTATATATAATCGCAGAAAGTAAGGAAATACAGAAGTCACCTCTCTGAATCCGAGTCCGCATCATTTTTTTCTTTTTCTCTCTCTTCATCTTCGATAGGAAAACGTCTGTTCAGAGAGGCAAACTTATGAATCGCATCAGCAACAGAGTACTTGGTCTGTCCACACACACAAGCCTCCATATCTTCAGGACTTAGCTGAGTCTGGAGGAAGAGGTGAAGCCTGCTGTCTGAAAGCAATAATGCATTTTGTAGGATCCTTTAAAGAGAAAAACAAAAGTCAAATGTATTTACATGACGCAAGGCAACTGCCCATAGCTACATATAAATACACATTCTGAAGTGCTTTACCAGAACAAATTCTAAATGATGTCCCGCTTTTAAGTGTCTAGAAGAATACTAAATCACTTGGAGAAGGTAATGAACATATTAAGATSATTAGGTGTGTGTTACTTTCTTATTACATTATTTGGAATTTTAGGTGAGTAAAACATGAAGCTAGTAGTTAAGCACATCTGTTATAAGAATAACTTCAAGGATGTTTCTTCCATTTAACCATCTGTTATTACCACAGGGATTAATTAATGATTTTTAGGCTGTTGGAAGCATATAGTCTTAMGCTCAAATTTATATTCAAATACAGTCTGTATTTGAGGATTTTTTTTTTTAACTAAGCTTTTCTAAAAATTAGCTATCACCAATCTCTTTGGCAGAGGAAAGAAGAGTTTACAGGGATACAGGACTTTAGAAACACAAACATAAAATGCCCAGATTCTGACATACTCCAACATCAGTATTTGTATACATAAGCCAAAATTTATGCATATTTGTTAAAGTATGTACAGCTCCAACGTTGAGTGAAAACGCCCATACTCAACTTTAATCTGTATGTACTTAAAACTGTTTTCAGGAAAGYTCAAATACTTTTAATTCTAGATACATTTTTAAAACTCCATTCTCATCTCACTAAGCCTACAAATACATTTAGCACAGAGTATTTACTTACATGGAGTGGGAGTACAAAGAACAATACATTCCAGTGATACAAAAAGTTGTAGGGATACTTTTACAGGGCCTGAGAACTGAGGATCATCAGCACTGTTTTGAAAAAATACCACTCTGGTGCATGATTTATCTAGAGAAGCAACTCTTTAATACGTGTATCCTATAGCCATTAGCAAGCGACTACGTTTATGCACACATGTAACTTTATTTACGTGACTTTAGGAGTGAAGTAATGTCCTGTCAGCTTGTGCAAGATAGCACTCCATAGAAAATTACTAAGATACCCTTTGGCAAACCCAAACTAGCAGGAGTCAACATCTACCTGTTTCTGATCCTTTAAGTCACTGTAGTTGCCAAAAAGGTCACTGCYATGCAATAGGATACAAGAGAGGAAGCTAATGTAAGAATTAGTAAAAGAAACAGAATTTTAGCACATTATATAGGTACTGTGATTAAAATGTATTAGTTCCTTCTATCAAACAAGATTAATGATGTTTTTGGTCTGTAGCATTTTAAAAGTATAAATAAGCTCTAAAAAGACATTCTCTGAAGTGGCCACCATTACAATAACAATAACAATTAATATACTGAAAGATTTCTGGCTTTATCTAAGCCTATAAAATTCTGTCAACTCAAAATATATAATAAGACCTATATCTCACTGAAAATGTGCATATATGCACAAATATTCTACATTTCATTTGAACAGATAAATACACATTCACAACAAAATAACTCACATGTTGACATTCTGCAGCAAGGAAATACCTGCTGTAGCCCTAATGATCTACCACGTGCGTATAAAACAGTCTAAAAATGACCAGATTCCACTGCGATTCAAGATAAACACTCTTTCATACCTAGATAAAGTCTTTTTACTCCTCCCAAATTCTCACAACTTTACTTAAAAATAAACCTAGCAAGTACAGTATATACTAGTAAAGTCAATGGACACAGTGTATTAATACACAGTACCCTGAAGAACAGCTTAGTTACCTACGGGAAACAGCAAGTGTTTCCCCTACAGCAGAAATGATTCAAAACACAGAACTTACAAATCCACACACCTCAACAGCAGTAGCTTCAGGAATTCAGTCTGAAAACCCATCATTCACTGGCCACAAAAAGAAGATTTCAGCCTTGACTTTTGATAACTATAAACTCCCAAACAAGACAAACATCATGACAAGAAGTAGAAGAAAATACCATTCCACACAGTAAATCCATGTTTTACAGTTTGAGCGGTTGTGGGAGTAAATTCTCTCCTCCCTCTCTTCCTCCTCTTAAAGGGGGAAAAAAATAAACACACATACTAGAGTGGACTAGTTACTAGTTTTCCTGAGGTTTTTGAGCAGCAAAATGAAGGGATTTGCATTTCTGCAATTCTAGCGTTTCGTGACTAAGGCAAAGCAACACGGCGAAAGCKAAGGCACTAACTTCTGCACGTGGTATTTAGTTTCACAGCAGATTTTCCTGTGCAGCACCTTCAGAAGTTTCCTGCCAGCCAGTGAAAACACAAGTAACTAACTGTTCATAAGATGACACTATATACTTACAGCTTTGTTGCTGTTTGAAATGTATTTTATTTTCCTTATAAAATAATGGGTAATCTTTAAAATTGATTTTAGATGGTTTGAGGCATTACACCAGAGAAGTAATGAGCATTAATGTCAACGATATTGGACACAAATTCATTTTAGCTTTATTTCATGTCCAGTACAATTGCACTAAACCTTGAACTGCCGAAGCACCGTTATTAACTCGCCAGCACCTAGCGCAGGGAACAGCAAACAGAAGTGATCAGAGTGCAGGCTGAGCAGGACCTCAAGGCTACTGTCCTCCTTCTGCAGCTATAATTCAGTTTCCAATTTGACTTTACACTGGCCTCGTTATTTCACAGTGATTTTCTTTTCTGCTTCACAGTGCCATCTGGAGGGGAAGTGAGCGAACAGAAACCAAGGGGAAGAAATGGAAAGATATTCATTATACTAATTTCGTACATACATCCATAACAGGAGAAAAAAAACCCAAAAAACTCACAAACCAAAGCATTTTACAACCCATTTAAAGTGATCTTGAAAGCAAATATGAACACCTTTCACCCAGTCATGCCCTTGAAACATCTCTCTTCCCTTTTAATTAAAAGGCAACTTTTGCCTTTCTCCCATCTGAACCAACAGGTCAGATTGCTTTTTAATTGCATCCTTCAAGCAATCAACATGGAAAATAAATCTGTGCTATCCATAAGCCTTATGTTTAGCTGTTCATAATGCTCCTGTTTCAAGGAAATAACCATATATCTATGATTTGTCACCAGATGTTACTAATACAGTAGTTGCCCTCGAGGGCCTTCACTGTGTTCCGGGGATTCATTGTGCGAGGTGTTGTACAGCTAGAAAACAACCGTTTGGGCTCCAAGGACCTGAAAATCAAAACTGCAAAAAAAACAAAATACAAATGAAAACAAAGAAAAGGTAGGAGGGAGCGTGGTGTGTAATAACAGCACGAGTCGGGTGTCTTGGCACAGGCAAGCCCTCGGTGCAGCACGAGTCCAGCCAGTAGCGCTCCCAGCGCCTCACCAACAGCTTTATTATCGCAAGTGTCAATGCCGAGCTGCAGTTACAGTGATGTAAATCAGCTCTCCCGGCAACTGTGCTCATGTTAGAGTCATGGCTCTCAGTGCTAATTCCTATAAACTGGCTGGCCATATTTAACAGAACAGACTTTCTATGCATGCCCAGAATAAGAATGAAAGGCTAAATCCTGCAAGTCTTTATCAGATCAGCAGTCATTACTTGTCAGAGATCTCACTCCTCTCAGCCAGACTGCTCACGTGCATAATGATTCCTTATGTGATTAAGGGGGCTGCGGGATAAGGCTCTATATTTGAATTAGAGGTAATAAAATCATTCTTTATTCTTGGCCATGTGAATATTTGTTTGTAAGCTTTCCRTAAATGCTCATGATCTCTAGACCTTTAAAGGAGCGCAGAAAATGTCAGCTGGCATCCAAAAGAAGTAACATAATTTTAAAGAAAATGCTGAGTGCTAGTTGGAAAGTATTTCTCCTTCCCCATGTTACAGCAAGAGCACTTGCAAAAAGACAAAACATGTGTTTTGTCTTATTTGGACAAGGTCCAAAATCTGGCTTTCTTCAACATGATTTTATTAGGTATATTATACACTGTTCTGCTGGAGGAGAACAACATATGGCTGAACAGTACAACTTAATCCTAACTAAAGATTTCCTGTATCTACTGTAACCTAATACAATGACAGATGCACACTTGGATGTGTGTGGAAGGTTAACACTCTGATTTTGTTTTCAACAAATTTACTCTGCCCATTTACATCATATCATGAGAGGGGGGAAAAAAATATAAAAATAAAACTTGAGAGACACCAGATCACAKCCTGTGCTGGGGTGCCCTCTACTGAACATCCGCTCGCAGCCACCGCAGACGCCAGCAGCCCACAGCAAACAAAGCTCCATTTCCTCCCTTTACAAAACCTRCTGTGTTTCCTCTTTTTATTTTAACAGAGGAAATGTTAACTGATAGCAAGCAACTGTGAGGAATCCGATAACAAACACACTCTAGAAAAAGAATTAGTAACTAAATGCCTGCTCGGTGTTAACGTGCCTGCTTAGTACTACGCACAACGTAACTGCCCCAGGTATTCTGCTTGAGCCCCATGATTTGTTAGAATCCAGCTGTATTCAATGAAAGCAAAATATTGGCAGCAGCAGTGAATACAGGAGGCATTTCAATCAGTTTTATTAGTGTTGTAATAAGCAAATATGAATTATCTTATATAAAGGTCATCTAAATCTCAGTTATATCTGTACAAAAAGAGAAGTAAACAGGCTCATACAGAACGTAATATGAAAAGTTTGCTTTGRTTTTAGCCTTCAGTTTAAGAATAAGCTTTTCCTGTGAACTGGAACACATTCTCAAAACTACCAGGATACTTATCAAGAAAAATGCATCATTTTCCTTACTCTTACAAAGTAATTCATAATTGAAACTGGGCTAGCTGACTTCCGTTAATGCAAATGGGCTTTTGAAATATTAAATTATATCCCGACAAGAAGCGAGCTTTACAGCTGTTCATCATTTAGAGCGATAATAACCTGCAAGACGAGCAGTTCTCACCCTGCTTTGCATGGCGAAGACAAACAGAAGGGGAAAAACCCTTCCCAGACTCCAAGAAGCCATCGCTTGGCTTCCGGCTCCTGCTGGGGACGCAATTCTCATGCTACCGTGTGTGGCACGAAGGGGCTGCACGGACCCCGTGCCAATGCTGGGTGCAGAGGGGGAGCCGACAGGAGAGCTCTGCCACGATCCACGCGCAGGTGCTCGGTGGCAGGAACTGCATCTCTGCGAGCGCCTTCCGTGCCGGCAGCGCAGCCCTCGCTCCGGACAGCCACGGATGCAGTGCAGAACCAGGAGCGGGTGAGACCTACACTTCATTTCCAGCCACGCTCTGGATCCTGTCTCTCTTAAGGCACTGAACGCCGAGTGCAGCAGAGGCTCCGGCAGCGCCTCCGAGAGCCTGCCCTGGACAGCCGGCACAGGCGCGAAGCAGCCGCACGCTGACCGCGCCGCCCGACCCCGCGCTGCCGCAGCTGCTCGGAGAGAAACCCCAGCCCGCGGATCACAGCCGGGATGACACCGGGGCATCACGCAGCAGCCTAACTCGGCCCACAAAACCACGCCTGCCGTGAAGAGCAGCCCACGGAGACGGCGGCCAGCAGGGGGCAACCGCCAGGCCGGTCCCAAGTGCTGGGCTGGTCCCAACCGCTGGGCCAGGCCCARCCGCCAGGCGGGTCTCCCAGGGCCGGCTCCATCGCCCCACATTCCCGCCAGCTCTTGTCCCTCTCGCTGAGCGGCGCCTACAGCCAAACGTGTCAGTCGGCACCTCGCAACAGAATCCCCCCCTCACCTGCTCTTGCGAGGACAGCAGCAGGGCGAGATGCTCAACCCGCCACCGTTTCCTCCTCTCAGTGCCCATTTAAGCTACCTGTATCCAGAGAACTGGAGGCTGATCTGGTTTAAAAGAATATTTCATTGTGTTTTGCCTTTTGAGGCATAAATAGTAAGTATTTTGACCTTGAAATATTCTATACCCTATACATACACCATATTATATGGTTAGGATCAGTTTGGTCTCTTCACCATTTTTAAAATCACTGTCATTTTAAAACACGCTCCTCCATGTGACAGCACAGCTAGGCTGGAATAGCTCACACACAGGGACCTGAATTACTACACAAATGTCTAATCATTAATATTATCACCTCTAGAAATGCAATCACTCCCTCACCCATACGAGGTAAAGAAAAAAACCCTCTAATCCTCTTCCACTTTCTCCATTTCCCATGTCCTCACACTGTATTCATAGCCTGTATTTCTGCCCACCGATGCTAAGTGTAAACGTATGCAGAAATGTTATTCCTGAAGCTCCTGTCCTGGTTAACTCTCCCTGCCTCCAGCTATTAAGCCTACTGCTAACAAACGCATCTCCAGGACCAATTCTTCCTTGCCTGTAAGGGAAGCCTATAATTGTAACATATAGGCTAGAAAAACATCAGGTTCAGTATTCCTTTGCCAACCCACCACGTGCATCAAAGCCTACTTAAATGACTTGTTTTCTTCCTTTCTGCACGCAACTCTGATTCAGGAGAATGCTAATATTGAAACGGAGTCTCTTTGCTGTCAACATCTTCCCATGCCGTTAACCCAACCAGTGCCTCAAGACAACCTGCAAACCGAATGGTAATTCCTCCCATAGCGCCTGTGCATAGAGCTGTGCTCCTAAGACCACTTGCAGGGTACTGAAAAACCGGCAGGGAAAGCAACAAAATCACCCGACAGGATCTCCACACGAGTGCAGACAGTGAAACTGTGAGAGCAGCGGCGCTGAACGGCGCAAGGCTAAAGCTAACAGAACTCTCTTGTGACTCACGTCAGTCAAGCTAAGGTTTCACTGCTCGTTTATTACAGTTTACACCAGCCCTTCACATAAGGGCACAGAGGAATGATTTTCTACAAGCGCAGCTGTAGTGAAAGTGACCACAGCTCCCAGGGCTTGTTTGTGCTGTGGGTATGGTAAACAGAGCAACTGGCATCACAGGAAATATTTGTGTTAGAAGATCTCCCTGCAGAACTTTAGCCAGAGTTTACTAGAGAGAYCTGGACACTGAATTCCCATTACTACGAAGTCTCATTTAGCTGTGTCATTCCTGAAAGCTGTAAGGAGACATCACCATGCAAGAACTTGCAACCCCAATACATTTTTAATTGATGCAGTGAAATGCAATAGGAAAGACGAAGTTTGCTTATAMCAGTGAAGCTGAAGTATTTGATCATATAAGGCTTTGCACAAGCAGAACAGAAAGCAATGTGTAACAGGCGATGCCGACCACAAGGTGGCTCTCACATACCAGAGATGAACCACGTTAAACTAGAAAAGTGGAGACTCCAAAGAAATGCCAGCATCTCAAGACGAAGGTACCTACTTTTCAAGGAATTCTTGAAGGCCCTGCCGACGAAGGTCCACGTGATGAGGATTGTTCGCGTTAAAAAAGGGAGTTTTAGACGGCAGCTCCGGGAGCTGTCTTTATAAAGAAACAAGCAAACACATAGTTAAAACCAAACCTGAAACAGGGGAGAAAGATACTGTGAGTTAAAGCCAACCACAAACATCTGGGATTCACAAGTTGTGTTCCAAAAATTAAATCAAATTTGAGAGAATGACGCTGAGCAACTCGCGTGCTTCTGACATATCTCTAAGGGGAGAAAAGTATCAGAATGTTGTGGCCCAGCCTGCCCATGTCTCTTATTGTCCTTACGTCCATTAGAATCCAAGCAGGTGCTAAAGGCAGGAAGCACCTGCACTGCTGTTGTAAGCCACATGAGCAGACTCTGCTCCACTATGGCCAAATAACTTATCTTGGCCAGGCTGCTATTCCCGCTACCTGTACCCAGTCAAAGGAAATCCAGACAAAATGTATTATGAGTTATTAGACTGAGGGCCACCAAACAAGGGCTGTGAGTGCACACGACATCCTTTGGGGTTTAGACCRAGTAAAGCAGCAAGAATTGTGTTGTACGGAATAAAACCACTATCAGAAAGAGCAGGATGCTTTCCAGCTCCAATTTCTATAGCTCCCAAGATTAAGAAKAAACAATCCCCTCCAACCATTATTAACAACTTTCTAAAATCATCTATTTAATGGAATAAACAAAGTGTAACTTGCTCACATTAGCACAGCATTGCTCTGAAGCCTCTGTCGGAGCCAAACAAATTCTCGAAAGCGCCGCCTCACGCAGGACGTTTTCCTTGTAAAGCACATGCTGTTTGTCTGTTGGGAAATAGAAAACATTCCACCTGGTAAACCAGTTTAAAGTGCAGGGGATTTGCTCTCATTTTACTCTTTTGTTTCAAGCAACAGATCAGGATAAACTTTCAGTGACTGGGGGCGGAGGGGGGGGGGAATCCCTGGAACAAGAAAGTTTCAGGGAAAAATAATATTTGCAGGAAAAAAAAATCTAGTTACAATCCTCCAAACCCTTACTCTGCACAAAGTTCTCCCAGCCTGCAGTCCTGGTTAAATCAAACAAGCTAAAGTGGATGCTCCCTGCAATTAGAAGTATTTGGACACTTTCCCAAAGAGCAGTATTATTCCAACAGAAAAATGCCAATTCATCAAAAGAGAAACAATGCACGGAAATTAAATGCCTTTGCCAATTTCTCTAGCYGCGGACACATTTAAGTGAATTTAAGTTATCTTGTGCCCGCCAGCGCTGGCGGCTCCGAGCGCCCATCCTGCGTGGGCAGCCCAGGGCCAAGGGCACCAGCTCCCTGGCAGGGACTGGGCTCCCTGCTGCCTCGTAGCTGCAGGCATCAAGTACTATGAGCTGGGCTGAAGAGGGACCCAGCTGGGCAAGAACCTGGCAGGGCCCACATCTGAATGCACCTCATACAGCTCAGTACCCCCCTACAGACATGGTCTCCAAGAGCCTCTGGTAATTCCCAGTAGGAAGCTGGGTTGATGTGTATCAGCTTCAGAAATGCCCAGGGAAACACAAACCAGTCATACCCTTCCATTTCAGAAGCACTAGTGCCTATGAAACGGTAACGTAACCCACCCAAAATCCAGAGCTCCAAAATATAATTGCTTTTGAAACAGTTTTTAAACCACACTGCAAAACGTGGCAGTGTCACAGCTCTGACTGTCACACAGGGCACAGCTTGTCACAACTTGTCAGTACAGGCCTTCAATAAGCAGCCATTTGGCTGTTTGCTCTCGTTATGCTCAATGCTTAACTCTCCCACACTGCAAGGAAATGCTTTCCATCTTGTGCCAAACATCAGTCATATAACTTGGTGCTCTCAAAATCTTCACCTGAAAACTGATAAACTCCACAAACCTTTATTTGCATGGCCATTAAAATTCCTGGATCTAGATTTGGGGAATGAATGTGGTTCTTTCCAAAAATGATCCACCAAAGAATAATAATCAACAAAATAAAATTATGTATAGGACAGATTTAAGATACAGAACAACACTTTAAGTGCACTCCCACWAACATATGCTAGACTACAATTACGTAAGCAAATGTACTTACTTGACATACCAAGTACCACTGAGCGGGCATAATGTGAATGTCAAGGAACACTGAAAACCACGTCACAGAAACCAAATAATATTCTTGGCAAATGAGAACCGGGGAGAGTTTAAGGAGCAAGTTAGAAGACTCTTACTGAAAAGAAAGTTGTTTCAGCTTTCATGAATACCTGAACATCAAACTTCTTCTATAATTATAAGATCACTTACTAGGCAAGTCTGTTGCACTGATTTTCTAGCTGATAATTAAAACTAAAAATAGTCTCTGTTGTAAGACAATATTTTCCAGAACACTCATGTCAGCTCAAGCACCAGGTTATAGTCCCAGTTCTGCCAGAGMCTTAGCTTTGCCAAAACCCTGCAGCACCTTACCTCTTCCTGCATCTCCACCAGGTAAAGGGGRTAATATCCCCCAGCCTTCCAGGAGTGCTGTAAAGAAATTCCCTTCATATCTGAAGTGAGGGGACTTGGACAGAAACAGCAATAAGAATACAAAGACTCCATAATGCTATTTTCATACTCACATGAATGAATATCTCATAGTCTATGTATGAGTGCCAAGAGTCTTCTTTCTGTGTCCTAGGGTCTCGCACCAACACAGTCACAAATTCCTGCAAGCGCATAATAAATCAAGCAATAAATTCCCAAAGACAAAGGCAGCCTAAAAGATTCTTTTGATTATTCTGCTGTTCCACAAACTACTGTGCTCAGATTAAAAGCTGAACTGCTGTTTTATTGAATGCTGCAATCCTATAAAAGGAGAAGCAAAAACCCATGAATCATCTGAGCTACACCACATGTCTAGGAAATTCCTTGCCAAACTGCTAGCAAAAGGGACTATTTCAGATTAAACAACACTGTGAATTATTATACATGCTTTCCAGAGGATAATGATATAGAGTACGTGCCTTAGAAGTTGTCAAAACCTAGTCTAGTTCCTTATAATTTCTACATTTATATAATAACTTAGAGTGATCCCAAAGGAGCAATGGGGGCCTGAGGGCATTAATGCAATGTAACTAGGTATCACTAATAATAATTAGATGAGGCTGAAGAATACATGCTTCCAGGTATCCTCAGCTAATAACCACATTACATGTCGTATCCTGTTACCTGATAAATCTTAACCATATTTTCAGGTTAAGATGGGCAAGGTTCTCTAACTCCCATCTCTTACCAAAACAAAAGAATAACATGTCCAACTTTGATTGCTTAAGTAAACAGCTACCCAAAGAAGTAAGCCCACCACCTACACAATCACTTACTCAAAGAAAAGCAAATCATTATAAGCTCTAGATACACTTTTCCTGAGAGAGGCACTGCGCCAGACCTCCACATATACGGATCAAAGCTGGGATCTCTGCAGCTCTGTCACAAACCAGGGAGTCTTAACGTGGAAGGCTCTCAAAGGTGTCTTTCCCAAGGAAACCTCACTTTTCAGCCTCCACCCTCTTCTCCATCCACCGCACCCCAGCAGAGCCATCAGCACCAAATTACAGCCAGAGGTCCAATTCCACAACAGGAAAGGACCCACTCTGCGTGAACAGTCGTTGCACCCTGCATGTGGCAGGGAAGTATTTGCGGCTTTGATTAAATCATTTACTGTATCAGAGTCGCCAGAGAAAACTCACTGGAAAAGTTCCCACCATCCCCACTGCTGCTTTCTTCACCGAGGAACGTGGGAGGCCTGGCTGCCCTCCGCTCTTTTCATACCTCTATTCTTATCGTCTCCTTTTTTTTTTTTTTTCCCCTCCCTTCCCTCATTCAGTCTCTCCCTCTGCTCCCAGGCTTCTATTTCCCATTTCTCAGTCTTCCCTGGAGCTGCAAACTCTTCTCCTGGCCATTCTGCCCTCCCTTTGGAGGTGTGAATGCATCCGCCCTGCAAGCTGGAAGAAGAGCAACTATCCCAGAAAGTTTCAGGTACAGCCTTGCTCTCCCCTTCCTTCAAGTCCTGCAGCTMAGGGTCAGACCTGTAACCAGCCTGCTTATATTGTAACTTTTAGTTCCTTTCCTGGTATCAATTGCCTTGTCATCTTCTCATCATGCTTCCTTATGCCTAGCTTCCCCAAACCACTTCCAATCGACCTTCCACTATCCTCCTCTTCACAAGGATTCAGAACAGCCCAGGCAAAATACTTTTTTCAAACTGTTTCACAACACATTATGATAAGAAGTCACTGTTGAATGTGCTGTGTTAGCTACGGGTTACCTTGACTACAAGGCAACCACACAAAACCCTCTGTGTTTGTAATTTCCAATTAAACAGCCAGGTTTCGATACTGAGGCCTTCAGTGCTTCAGCCTTCCAGACCACCTACAAGGAACGACACCCGTCACGTCTAACGTGGCAGGCAGCAGGTGCCCGCGCAGACACCGGGTATCTGGGTATCCCTGACCCAACACCAAGAACATGCCATGGCAGAGTGGGGTGCCCCTCCGCAAACCATAAATACAGTACAAGCTCCAATGTGAGATACCATCATTCCATCAGCGTTAGGAGTTTTCTCTTTCAGTTTCCCAAAAATTACCGAGTGAGGTAATCATGAAGCAAGAAAAATATTAAGCAATTAGAAAACAAAAGCAAAAAAGTACAGCCTTTCTCAAGAGCCACTGTTACTTCCCTATAAACATCCTGACTCCAGTAAATGTTTATTACAATTCCCCTTCCAGTCTCTGCTACCCGGAACCAGGGGCATTACACACAGGGCACCCTCCTTTTCTGCCCCATATGCCTGTTCTGCAACACAAGACCAAATGGAGATATAACAAAGTAGTACATAACAAAGTAGTACATACATTGGTGTAGCTACTGTGATTCAATCACAGTTGTACTACTTAGTGTAGATGCAGGTATGCTGCCACGAAAGGGTCCCATATCACTTGCATAAGCCTAGTTTTATTGGGACAAGTCCAATAYTTGCACACAGGCTACAGCACAAAGTGAGGGGGCAGAATATTCGTTGCACATATTGCTGCTCTACGCTGAAGCCCATTCTGGATTCACCAGTCATAAATACTGAACTACAGCAGCCGCAGTAATAACTGCCCTTAGCCTCTGCATATCCTTCTTTCCCTCCATTTTTTTCTATTAAAAAAATGCAATATGGTCAATGGGCATGTCAGCCTTCGAGTAACCCAGTGTCTGCCCACGAGAGGGGAGCTGCCCTCCTTCTCTCACAGGTCTCACAAAGCTCAGCCTCACCCTCTGTCACCAGACCGCACTGCAAACCCAGAGCAGAAGCCCAAGAGAGCAGAAGTCCCCAGGCTCAGTAATGCCTAAAACCATTGCAGGGAATTTTTCGCTTGTGGGAAGAAATCACATTTAAGTCATGGTCCTCCTGCCCCCGCCAAGTTTCCCCACACATGCACACGATAGTAGATCTAGCTATTACACCAGGCATTAGTACACCCAGCAGTGGAGGTTTACACACTGCAAACTATACAGACACAACACAGTTACTGCGGGGAACGTTCTTTCTCCCATGAAGCTGCTAATTCACAAGCAAAACCCAAACTGCGACTACTGTAGCTTCGACCTGGAGCCAAATACACTCACAAGCAACTGCAGTCCTGTCCCCAAATTGGAATTTAACAAGAAACCCTCTTGGTAGCTGAGGAAAAGCAGCTGTTTCTCCTGCACAAGACAGCCTTGCAGTCATGGCACGTGGCAGCCAGGCTGGCCGGGGCAGCCCGTGACAGAGCATGGCGCAGGCTCTCCAGCGAGCAGGATGAGCAGCCCAGGTACCCTGACAAGCGGCGCCTCCTTGGTCCTGGCGACGAGGGCTGTGCTGCCCGTGCCGGCCAGGCCATCCCGGTGGTGGTGGCAGTGACACTGATGGCGTCAGCGGCCATCTCGGCCCCACCAGGGAATGGCCACCATRGAGAGCTCGGCAGCCAAAATGGCCGCCGGGCCCAGGGGCATCGGCGCTGGTGCAGCAGAGTGCTGCTCGAGGCTGTGCAGAGCACAGGGAAAGGGCAGCACGGAGGCCGCAGGCGCCGAGGGATGGGATATTCCCACAGGGACCTGCCCCAGAGGGAACCACGCACCATAAAAGCGGCTGAAGCGAAGGTGGGGTTTCCCCAGGTATCATTTTGTGAGGATACAGTAACTGCTTGGAGCCAAGGACAGGCCGCAAGCCCCCTTACACAGACTGACTGCAAAAACTGAGAGCGTTATTTTTAATATTCCTCTGCTTGGAAAACAGGCCATCTTATATGGAAATATCTATTTTTAATATGGGAAAAATCTAGTGTGAGAGAGGAAAAAAATATTGTTGCACTGGATGACTATTTGCTTCATCCATTCCAGCTATGTCTTAATTCAGATCTCCATCCTCAGGACACTATCAGGTGATAAACTCATGCTCCACTGTTGCCACTGTTACACATTTGATTAGTCAATAGCCCCAAGAGTCATTTTCCACAAAATGTCCTTAGAAAAAAACAGAGCAGAATTTCCCATCAGACTGCTTCCTAGCAAAGGGATCCATCACAAATGACATGAAGCTCTGCATTGGGTTTATGGGGAATCTGTACTCCACGCAGGTGGAAAAGCAAGTCTGGTAAGAGAGAAACAGCCAGGAGAAAAACACTTGATTAGATTTTCCATGTTTGTTGCGGCTGAAAAAAAAAGAAAAGTATGATTTCTGTGGAAATCAGAGTTCAGCCCTAGTTGCAAAGATGACATCCTACCCCACACCCAAGTCTGTAGGGAAGTCAGACATTGAAGTCACTCTCCCAGCTCAGCATCTGCAACAGTCATGCACAGGCYGTTTACATTCCTTTTCTCTGATCCAAAGATATTTGTTAATTCTGTGAAACTAACAGAAGGAGCTGGCACTGCATCACTCACAATATGCTGTGGCTTTGTGATTAAAGCACGAAGAATACAGCAAAATACAGTATTCTGGCCTCATCAAATGCTCTAAGCCAACACTCTGGGTCAATAAATAGAAACTGAGAGAAGGTGTCTCTCAATTCTTTGCCACTGGTCTATGCAACGTATAAACAGGAGGTTTATTATGAGCATACTTGTCTATAGCTAGGCAGGAGAGGGGGAAAGCAACACTCAGCAGCATCAGGTTTGCCAGTGAAGACTGCCCAATGTTCCCTAAATCCCCTTCTTCAAGGAGACCTGGGCATTTCCAAAGGGAGCTACTGCCCCAGTCACGTGGAGCAATGGATGGGGGGGTTGAAGTTGCATTTTGGATGCAACTGAAAGAACCCAAGGGGACCYAAGTACCCCAGCCCTTCTGTGAGCACCACCCTTACTTCTGACATTTAAAACACCCATGTTCCACACTCCCTGCTTAATAGCCAAAAATATCAATAGTAGAAATCGTCTATTCTTACAATTTCATTGATGGTAATAATAGTGGAATGTTGACTCTCAAGCAGTTGTTGCTCTTGTAAGGCACAGGTCCTCAGTGGGGTCTAACTCCTCCTGCAATGTGCTCAGCTTGGGCCATGTCTCTTTAAGCACTACTTTCTTATACGGTTTACATAAAGCGTGAGGGTTTCCCATGTTGCAATAATTAGATCATACGGAAATTTTCCGCTAACTCAATGACTCCTTAACCCCGGTATAACCGAGCTTGGTTTGGGCTATCACAAGCAGCACACGCAAAGTCCTCCCTGCTGGGTCAGCTGCAGTGGACGAAGGGCCGGAGTTCCAGCAACCTCCCCACGGAGCACGTGGCACCTTATCCAGGGTGCTGGCGAGCCAACCTTTTTGCATTTCTTCCCATCCTCAAGCTGACTTCCAGCCCAGAACACACACTAGCAAACACTGGAGCCAACAATTCTCAGTGTGCATTGCTTAAGAAGAAATGTTTTATTAATACTTCACTAAAAATAAACTTACCAAACAATCCACTCACACACACACAAAAAAAAWAGAGGATGACAAAATGTCACTGTGGTTCTTCAGGACATGAACCACAACAACAGTTGCACATGTCAAAAGAATTCCTCCTCAAAACTGCCTGCAGGGTTTGCTTTTCAGTCATGTTAACCCACTTTCCATGTTGTTTGTGCTTAAGATCGGACTCAAAATATTAATACAAAATGCAAACATGGATGTCAGTAAGTTAAATTGGGTTCAAACACTCATCCATAGGTATCTTAATTGCAAATCAATGTGTCCTTGAATGCTTCTGTGAAGTTGCTTTAATGTAACGCACCAACAAAACAGTTTGCAGCTTTGGTAATAACAGCAAGCACCAACACATGTGAAAACAGAGACCTTGAAAACTTTTACCTGCATGTTGGTCTGGCTCTACCTGTGACAGCAGGCACGGCAATGGCACAAGCAAAAGGCTTTTACCATGATACAAAATTCAGGTTGCAAACCTTGCAGAAAATAGCTCAAATATTGATATGGTACTAKTAATAGTCATTAAAATGACTGTTTTGCTTGTTCTTTGAAGATATCTATTAAATCTCGTGTCTTTTTACCGGAGAACACAACACAGTAGCTTTCAAGACACTGTCATCTTGTGTCARAAGTTTTCCCAAATAGACAGAGGCATCCTGACCTATTAATACTAAAAAGCAGSACTTAAAGGGTTTTTACAGGGATATTTATGTCAGCTACTAGAACGCTGTGACATTTGTGCAGCTAACATTGCCTAAGCACTTAAAAACAAGCAAGCAAAAGTAAAGGCAGCAACCAGCAATATCATGGATTTGTGTATCTAAAGGCAACCACATCATCTCAAAGCATCTTACCATGGGATCAAGAGCACAGGAAAGTGGCATTTTCAAAAAAAAAAAAAAAAAGAAAGAAAAAAAAATCCAGTTTGGAAGTGGCATATACCTTGCAAACCAAATGTCAGTCTTAGTCTCATAGATTTCTTCTTTCATTTCTATCTTGCAATGCCATGGACTACACTAGGGATTAGGATACCTCAGAAATATAGCATGGCCTAATTAATAAATTCTAGGTATTTACTCCAAGGCAGGACATCCTACAGTGCCAAAGGCTCCCCATATAGCACCTCTGTAATATAACACATTCTAATCAACCACCTTGGAGTCCTCTGGAGACTTCCCTGCACTTTTAAGTGGTGATGCTCCAAAGGTAATAGGCATTTTGASTGCAGGAGCAGGCTGCTGGAGAGGAGAGGGTGAATAATTCTAGGGAAAGCCTCCTGTGTGCAGCTCCTGGGAGATGTTATGATTCTGCGGTGACCAGTAGCTGTCATCTTGCATCTGTCAGATTAAAACTTCCCCTCAGTGAATTCACTCCACAACCACCAGACTAGAATCCTTCCTTATTAAAGCTTAAACATCACTTACTTGTTTTTCGTGTTTCGGGGTCATCTTCACTGGTTTGTATTTAGAAGAAATCCTGAAAAATAGAACAGAGAGCAGCTTGGACCAGAAATGTTATTTTTTTTTTTTTAGGCAACTCAAACTATCCTGCCCTGAAACCGGCAGGATCCAAGAGCTCCCTAGGCTGCTTCCCTGGAAGGGAGCTAAGCAGAGAGCAAAGCTGTGGGGCTCTGCAGGCCATCTAAAACTCAGCCTAAATTTCACAACATCAGTGGTTTTAAAAACTCCTATTCGGGAAGCAGAGAATTAGACCAAATCCAAAAGTCTTCTTCCTCCTTGTTTTTGCAGTAGGATGAAAATGGTATCTCTGCTCTTCTGGAATGTGCTTTTTTTTTTTCAGGTCACGTAACTTCTGCAGATTTTCTCTTCCACTTCTTGCCGATGTGAGTAACACCAATGGGAAAATGGGAAAACCTCCCCAATGACGCCGCCTGTCCAGCAACAAGACGGGACGCGGGGCCCTTATCTAACACCTGCACAAGACAGTGAATCAGAACCGCAGTCCAACTGCCGAAGAAAGCGCGTTTTGTTTTTGCTTGTAGAAAAACCCTCCCCAAAACACAGGTGATGGAGAGAAACCACCCTCAGAAACCAAGCAAAAGGCTCTGGTCTTTTTACTCGTAAAAAGTTTCCAGTGATGGAAAAACAAACTGGTGCTGGGAAAAAGAAACAAAAACAGAGTCAGTTGGAGATCAAGTTTTGATAAASTGCTTCCTACAGTGGCTGGGGAAAGAAAAAATATGCTCACACTGATATGAATAAGTTTTCATTTTGCTTCTGATTTATTATCACACCAAAACCTTTTTATTATTTAGATCCCTATACGTAATTTAGCGTCATAACCCACAGATGCTTCAGTGCAGGGTGCCGCAGCTGCCCACAGCCACCCGAAAGAGACGGAAATACAGGGGGGCAGCTTGCCCTTCCTCCCATAGCATAACAAATGAGAAAAAAAAATAATAATAATAGAAATTTTWAAAAAAGGAAGTGTTTTTCTTAAATGAGTAACAGGTATTCATTTTTATTCCATATTTAATTGGTAGCTTAGTTTCTGCGTAAATAGCTGTTTTCAGATTTTAGCTACCACTAGGGAATATTTGGATTTTACTTTTTTTTTGCATTCCCCAAATCCACGGCACCAGAGCACTGCAGTGCCCGGCACGGGCGCCCGTGCTCTGCTAGGCTGGAGTTTTACACTGGCCCTTTGCGCTCATCTATCCTGGGACGGCTTTCAAACTGCCCGGATCCTCCTCCAGCAATCAATGTTGATCTGCAGGTCGAGAATTACCTGTCCATCCCCCCCTGGAAATTTCTGGGAATAACTAGATAACGACCTTCAAGCTTCAATGGGGAAGATGATGTATTTTTAGACCTTGGTCGTGACTGACAGTCCTATCTAATCACAGGCAAAGCCCTCAGCCGCCCTTTCAAGGTTGTTACTCTCCTCAGGATTGAGTGAAATTCTCCTTCAAGGCTACAGCGCGACAAAGAGAGAGCTCAATTAAATCTCTAACAGATCTTTACACATTTTAGGCTTTGTTTACCTTAAAGCTCATTAAGGTGAAGACCTTAAAGCTAAAGACCAAACCTGGGCTTCACAAGGCCTGGAATGGCGGCGCTAGGGCCCCGACCCGGAGACCGGCTGCAGCCGGGCCTGGGGCCCCGGCCTAGGGCAGCGCTCTCGGTTCAGCCCAAGTGACAGGCCAGGAAGCGTCGGGGCCCACAGCAGGAGCCACCTTCCCCCTTCAGCACCGTCTGGTTGGCRGGTTTAATTTTTAATAAGCACACAGCACACGAGTATGGYGCGGCTCCTCGGTGCCCATTACCACAGKGCAATGCCTCGCTTTGGCGCCCTCCCCTCAGCAAACTGCAGTCACGGTCTGCTCGTTAGAAACAAAACGAACGAGAACACAAGAAAAAAGTATTTTATCTTAATTCTGCACGGCCTTTGGATGCCTGCAGACTGCTTAGCGAGGCTGGCAAAGCACTTTCTGGGCTTAACCTCCCCATTTCATTAATGTTGTACTACAGCAGTTGCGGAATCTCCTCCCGAGGGAGCAGGTAACAAGGCCGTGTTCTGAACTGCCTTTAAAAGAGCAAGAGCTTTCCAAATCCCCAACAGAATTAACAAAACATCCCTCCAACCACAGCACRACATAGAAAGGCACTTCCAAAAATCCTGCTTTGGGGGCTGCACTTTCAGCTGCTGCAGTCAGGATMAATGACTCTTCATAAGGATTTCATTCCATTTGGTTGGAGAGGAAAAATAAATAAATAAAGGCATATGAAGAATCCTTTTTAATGCTATGGAAGCGTTTTTCCGCAGGCAGCCATGCCATGGTGCTGCAATCTTCTTGCTATTACAACCTTTTTTACGAGGGACTGTTTTGTCAGGTWTGGGTCTAGCTCTCCAGGTAAACTGGCATTATGGCACGCTTTTAATTACATCAATTTAACAACATATTGCTGGACGGCAGAACAACTCACGCTCCAAGCTTCTGAGAGGCTCCTAAAGAATTATGATAAACAAGCAAGAAATTCATACAACGAAATCTGCTCCAAGTAGGAGAAAACATGGAATCTTTCCTCATTCTCCTCTTTTTTTTTTGTAGTATCAAATGGCAAAGATGTTCATAAAAAGATGAAATTTGCAGTTTGGGTGAAYTGCAGATCCCAGAGTATCTGTTATTCGGGTTTTCTCCTCCTAGAACACACTAATAACACTAATGCCAGCACACTGGCCTCCTCGCCACAGCCAGAGAAGGGTAATTGTGCATAAAAGCACCGGGAGAACAGGAGGTGCCAGTCTGCAGTGCAGGAATTAGTTATTCCTCTGGGCTCAGGTCTGCAATAACATAAAGAATATATTTTTTCTTTCTTCCATACTTAATATTTCTTACAGGAACTAAATATTTCATTGCATCAAATCAAGTTATATTATCCTAACAACATTCTCTTCCCCAAGGTACCTCTCTCTAATAACCATTTTTTTAATTAACATGGGAAGGAAAGGTTGATGGCAACTGTATTTGCACAGCTGAGTAAGAAAAGCAGAAGTCAGCAAATGCAATGCAGGCTTATTGCAATAGGCTGCAGCCTCAAATACTGATACTGACACCAGCACCCTTCTTTCCTGGCTCCTTTAATACTCAGAATAAAATGTGCCTATAGTTGTTCATTTTTATCAGTTTTTTTTTTTCTCCTCTTTTTCAGTAGGTGCTGTGCTGCTTGAATTGCTTTTAGTATTTTGCATAGTATTTTATCTTGGGTTTCTTCCTGTTGCAAATTTCCGCATGCTCGCAAAGGGGTTATTTTTTTGTGAGGCCTGTTAGCACTAGGAAGTGCCAGTGTCTGGTCTCGTTCAAAAGGGATCGAGATGAAGTGAAAGGGACGGTCTTGGTCACAACCGCAGAAGCAGAACTATCACTCTAGTAAGGTCTCTGCAGAGATGTCTGGTAAATGAGCACAGATTCAGTCATAAACAAATTTAAAATTTAAATAATAGCATCTTCTGAGACAGAGCAGTTCTAAGCAGTCTTTATATAAATGTACCCAAAACAGTAGGAAAGATACAAAATAATTTGGTCAATGCAGCGAGCTCACCAAGCATTTTCGTCAGGTCTGCTCAAACTGTTCTGGTTCTCAGGTCTTTTAGATAAAGCAATCCATATATTTTAAAAATATATAAGTAAATAAAAAAACAAAGTGGCCATTATGGTGTTCAATGGGACATCCGACATGCATCCAGTGCCACGCTCAGTGCCAATTCCCCCGGGATCTCTCGCACACAGAGCTCACGAAACATCCTCTCAGTCACGTGAAACCTCTCTGGGGCTGCACGTGCTGCACGAGCCGAGATGGGTTTATTCACAGTTTAGTTTGCCATTTAAAACCATTATCAGTGATTTTAAACAGGCAACTCATTTGTCCAGCAGCCTGTTTTCCGAGTTAGCCTTTAGCAGTGGCAAGAAGAAAGGATTTTGGAAGAAAACAGCTTCTAAGCAGTGTTAACTCAGTACTAGGGGAGACAATTCTGAGAGGCAAACACGATTTGGCAGGAAGAACTTTTCACAAGCATGCTCTGTAAGAAAATCAGTCTGGAAACAAACAAAAACCCCAGTAAACTCAATAATTCATTCATACCCACATACCCATTCTATGCTTTCAATTTCTTTTGCATTCTCTATGTGTTGTCTTTTGGATACACTTYTCCGAATTATTGGTCTTGCAAAACTGCAGCACAACACTGGTGAGATCGGCATCAGCCCTTGGCCAACTATCAGCATGGAAGGAAGGTTTTAGGTATAGGAAAGCCCTTTCCAAAACTGCGAGCGAACAGCAGGAGCCAGCAAATACCAGGTAAAACACTGAGCAGAGACAATTCAAGACAAATGGGAGGAAGAAAAGCACCATTTGGGTCTGATTAACCCACCACTGCAGTCCAGTAAAGGGGGTTGCCAGCTGGCCTGACACCAACGTCAGCTCCAGGTTGATATAAGCAGCCTATGCACCCAGCTCTGTCAGAGCACGACCTGTCCCAAGGCAGGATTATCACGGAATTTCAGCCTAGAGAGAGAGAAGCTCTCCGAGGCTCTGCCACCCCTTAGCTGATGCTCTGCTTTCCCTMCCTTATGGTCACTTAGATCAGGGTTCCTGGCCTGACTCCTCCTCTCACATCTCTGTGGGGATTCCCATGTGCCACAGAACATCCTCAGYGGATGCAGGAGCCAGGACTCGGCCTGCTTGGAAACTTGAACAATTTAATTTGCCCTTACAGGGCTCCAGAGCTTCCCTCCATGGTCTGGCAGGAGCGGCAGAGGTGGGGAACATCCTACCTGCAGGCCACGCATGACCTGCACCTCGACGCGGCACAGCCCAAACCCCAGAGGGGTCTGAAAGGCTCTTGCGGCCTTCAGCGGGAAGCAGATTCCCTGCTGACGTCCTGCCTGGAGGAAAAGGCGCCTGTCTAGCCTGGAGAAGAGAAGGTTGAGAGGGGATCTGCGCAATACAT